AGTGGGCTCATACATTGTCCCAGTCACACCATTGTCACCTATATTAAGGGAGTCCAGTTCTGTCTCATGCAGGTTCCCCATTTGTCAGACCTGAGTCAGTGATCTCTCAGCTCGGGTCAGCTGATTCTGTGGGTTTCCCATCATGGTCTTGACTCCTTTGTTCATATGTTTGCTCCTCCCTCACTTCTCTTATCAATTGTTTGAGGTGCTGGAGATTGAACCAAGAACCTTGTGAACACCATGCAAGTCCTCTACCATTGGTCCATATCCTTAGCCCCACATTATTACCTTTAAAGATACTTATTTTTCTATTTTAAATTATGTGTATGCGTCTGTGGGTATATATGTACATGTTAGCAGCAATTGGCAGGGGACACCAGAAAAGGTGTCAGATTCCCTGGTGCTGGAGTTACAGGTGGCTGTAACTCAGGTGTTGGTAATGAATCAGGGTCTTCTGCAAGAATCGTACATGCTCACTGAGCTGTATCTCTACCCATCATCGTCACTACCACTTTCTTTCTTTCTTGTCCCCCTTCCCCCTCCCCCTGCCTCCCCACCCCTCCCCCTCCCCCTCTCCCTCTCCTTCTTCTTCTAGGCCAGGGACTCAAGATCCTCCTGCCTCTGCCTCCTGGGTTCTGGGTTTAAAAGGCGTGCACCACAACACCAGGTTCCTTTTCTTACTTCTTAAAAGTGAACTAAAAATCTTTGACCCAAGAGAAAACTGTGGTCTGTCTCAAACAAGGCCATGCAGAAAATAACATACAAGAGAAACAAAACACAAATCTAGGCAGCTTTTTGTAGAAGAGAGAGGAGATTTTGTCATACTTATTTTTTTTTCTCTCTCTCTCACTTGAAGTGACAGGGCACACTGCTAACCCTCCTCTGCTCACCTGAAGCATGTTTCACAGAATACTGAGTTAAGCATATTAGTGCCTAGATTTTAGTCCTGATGGTAGGCTAACGCTGAGTCATTAAATTTTAAAAAGTACACACAGTATAACAGTAGCTCAGAAGAATAGTTTTCCAAATGAAAAAAATAGAATACATGGAAGACGTAGAAGATAACTTTCACAGTAACAACTGCTCTCAATCGTGAGTGGGATGATCAGTCCCAGACACCACTGTTAGGTTTTCTAATGGGTCATCCATTGAGCTCAAATGCATGTGTGTTAAGTTTACAGTTGAGGGAACTGAAGAGACGTTATTTATTGAATGCCACATTGGAAGTTAGAGGAATATAGATGAGTCTCACAGCTGTGAAGCTGGGCAAAAGAAAACAAGTCTAAAGGCTATCTTGCATGACTAAGTTGAGATAAGATCCAGAATGGGCAAATATAATCAATACTCACTGATGTTAATAACACATGCACTTCTGTGGCCTGGGATTGTACTAGGAAGTTAAGTCATGGAATCTTCTAAACCATCAATATCCAAAAGTATACCCACACATAACAACAACTCATTCACCAGTACAAAGGTTTTATATATATATATATACATATATATATACATACACACAGACACACACACACACACACACACACACACATATATATATATATATATAAACACACACACATACATATATATATATATGATACATTAAAAGATTACCGAGGAAGAATGAGGAATGAGTTGAGCTCTATCCAGGTAACCCTGTGTAGTTCCAAGATCTCTCTCACTGGCTACATTGGTACATTTCACATTTTTAGGTTAAACACAAACCCTTAACCATTTTTACCAGGAGAATGAACAGATAAATTACTACATGTAAGTTAAGGGTACTGAAATTCCCAATTCATGTGAAAACCTATTTTACAAGCTTTCTAATACACAATTCAAAATAGTTTAATTGGAATTACTCTACACAGGGTGATACTGCTCCTACAAGGTACCACAGTCAAACAAAAAGCCACTCCCAGGTATGGGATTCACCCCATCAAGTTGTTGGCTGGTTGGCCAAAACAATACAGGCTAAATATGTTGTACTCGGTTACCCATTGGAATTGAGGGTAAAAGCCCATTATTGCTAACGGTCCCATAGACTTTGCTCACAAGACTTGGAGAAATCAACTGGTATTGACCTGGAGTCCTTCTCCCTGATGTCCAGCTTTCTCTCACAGTGTCACAGGTGCTCAGCTGGTGCTGGAGGGGAAAAAGTAACGACAGTCTTACCCAGCTGTGAACCTGTGAACTACATTAACGACTCACCTAGCAAGATACACTCATTAGTGCGAGAGCGCGTGCGTGTGCGCGCGCGCGCGCGCACACACACACACACACACACTTGCAGACTAAAAAGTATATGAAAAGGTCTTCAGAAAAAATTGACTCCAAAACTGTTTTTCTTTTTCTTTTTTCTTTTTTTACCTTAAAATAGCGCATAAGTTCTAGACTGTTTATGGCAAGTCCGTCCACTCTTGAGCCTAACGGTTAAGTTTATATCTCTCTGGACTCTTCCGGTATGATCTTATTTATAATTACTTGATCTTTACATACCCTTCAGTGGGTTTCCAGGCCCGCCTGCCGCGTTTCTGCCAGCCAGCCATTTTATCTGCATCCCTGTGCTGTTGCTCACGTAATCCCATTCTTTGGCCTGTCTGAGCTAGGGTTTCTGTTGCTGTGACGAAACACTGTGACCAAGACAAGTTGGGAAGGAAAGGGGTTATTTTATCATACAACTCTTCGGTCACACTCCATCGCTGAGAGGAGTCAGGGCGAGGAACCCAGAGGTGAGGACTGAGCCAGAAGCCGTGGGGAAACACTGCCTACTGGCTCCCTTCTGCATGTCTTGCACAACCTGCTTTCTTATACCACCTAGGACACTGCCCCCAGGGACTGCACTTCCCACATCCGTCATGAATCAAGAAAATACCCTGTGGGACAATCTCATGGAAGCATTTTTCTTTTCAATTAATGTTCTCTCTTCTCAGATGTCTAGGTATGGGTCAGGTAGACAGTACCCAATTGGCACAGACATCAGTCCTAGATGTCCTTCAAGAACTCAAATCTTTGATGCATTTGCTGCAGCTTTTCTACAAGGATGACACCCCTCCTTTGTTAGCTGGGCCACTACCTTTCAAGCCAAACGTAATTTTAACTGATCTTTCATGGCTCTCTCAAATACCATGGTACTCCAGTCCTTCTGAGAGACTACAGTGGAGCTATCTGGCACCAGACATTGTTTCAGCCTTGGGGATCATGGTTGTATGAGATGTAGGTTCAGATGTCCAGGATGGTGTGTTTTTCTTACTCTTTGCACTGCTATTGTACTGTTCAAGAAATTATCTCTCACAATGTGAGAACTTAGACCTTTTCTTCTGTTTTGAACTGCCAACTCTTTTCCTGGGACTTAACTCTTAAGAACGATTTGTATTGTAAAGACTCTGTTTTCCTCCAAAGCTTTCCATTTACTATAAGAATGGGAAGGCACTTAAGTACCAGCCACTGAGGTGTATTGCTGTGATTTTCATGGTATGGAATGCTTAGTAGTCAGTTTTAGGGAACATTTATTTTCCAAAATATTATTGTCTAAAACAGCAATTGTTTACAACTTCTGAGAGGTGAATTAAGTAGAAAACAACAATAATAATAATGTTTCAAGACATAGTACCATAGTCATGGCAAAAACTATACATGTGGTCTCTTAAAGTCTCTAATATGTGTTATTTTGTGTATTCCTAAAAAATGACCTTGAAAATGAAACCGAAGTCCCAAAAATCATTGGAACTTATGGGGCTCAAGGGAAGGTACCCACAGTTCTGCCTGACTGAATCGGACCAATTGTACTTACTTTATTGAGTTACGTTTCGCACACTTGGTTTGATTACTTGGATATGGGTGCCTGACTTGTGTTTTTATAACTCATTTTATCTCCTCTGAGAGATTCAGGTCCTCTGCTACACATCCAGCGAGGTCAGCGGGGGCTACATGAGGGAGTGTGTCTACCAACCACAGCAGCAACAAGGACAACAACAAAAACGTCGTTTTGGGCCTTTCCAAATCCTTCACTCCCAGAAAAATAAAAAGAGCACCCGTAGCGGGCTTCACGTGTGTGTCTAAGCACATTCATAAAACACACAAGCCAAGGATCCGGTTTCCTGCGTGGCCGAGTGAAGGCTTAATTCTCCACCTTGGCACCTCAGCCTGCAGCTGCATTGAGGGCCATTATGTCCAAACAGGCCCTTGAACAGGAGCCCTGCTGAGCAGAGACCCACTTTCCCAGGCCTGATCAACCGTGGCATCCTTGCTGCCAACCGGCCAGGCGGGCGCAGCAGCAGGGGAGGAGGGGCCGCAGGTAGGTGGGGAGGGGACCGTTTTGAAAGCCCCAGATCCCTCGCAGGGACGAGGCAGCTGCTCCGTGCTTCCCCAAACATCTGTCCCTGGCCTTACTCACCCTTTGGAGCGAGCTCATTAACTGGAGAGCCCACGAAGGCTCAGGAGCACTGAAGTCGCCCAGTGAGCGGGAAGCGGCCCAAGTGCCACCCAGAAAGTTAGTGCTGTCCAGGAGGCCTTTGGGGGGAACTGTCCCCTTATGTCAGCCACAGAGGACAGCTCTCCAGGAGCGTCAGGGTGCATGGCATCACCCACGGTGGGCTCCACGCCCCCGAGTGCTCACAAAACAGGGGTCTCCTGGGCCGGACTGCGGCAGGGGCATTTCTCCCAGCCTGCCTTGTCCTCTAGCGCGCAAGGCTGAGACCTGACACGGACGGAGGACAGAGGGACTCGCGGCGGAATGACCGCGACGGTAAGGACAGTTAAGGGGAGAGGCGCTAGCCTCAAACGTCACCTTGTCACTTGCAAGGGCCAAGCCGCGCACCGCCAAGGCCGCCTCTTGGGGGCGCATGCGCAGCCACGCCCCCTCCCCGAGGTACCCGCCCACTGTCGAGCGGGAGTCCCCCGAGAGGGCGGTCGGGCGCAGGCGCAGAGCTCAGCGGAAGTAGGGCCAGGGCCAGGGGGCGTGGCCGGGCCTCTGCGCGCGCAGCCCCGCTTAGGCTCCTCCCCTCCCGCGAGCGGCCGGCTTCTTCTCCGCCCTCCGAGATGGCGCTGGACCCCGCAGGTACTGGGGTCGGCGTGGTTGTGGGGTCTCGGCGCGGCGCCGCCTGGACCAGGTGCTCTGAGGATGCGCAGCTTCCGCGGTTGGCGCCTCCCTCGGCCCCGCTGCTGGGTTTCCTCCCACGGAGACGCGCCACCCTTCTGCCGCTCGCCCGGCTCCTGCTGCGCGGCGAGGGGCGTTGGGCTGGTTGCGGCAACTTCTGTTCTCTATTCGCCGTCTGATTTTTTTATTTTCCTCTTGGCTCTCCGTTGGGGCGCAGGCTCTTTTCAAACAGTATCGGGTGCAGACACTGTTGCCCCAGGGGAGGGAAAATGTCAAGTTCCATGCTGGTGCAGTTTGATACTTTTGTTTCCGGTAATTTTTATGCCCCCTGCTCCCAAGTTCATCCTTGTAACCCAGTGTAACAAAGGTTCCCAGACCGACCGGCTGGAGTCATTTTCTTGGAAAGGCTCTCCCGACATCGCCCATGTCATTTTAACTTGCGTGGTGCCACTTGGGTTTGCAGTAGAGTGCAGACCCTCGGGAAATCCCACAGAAGCGCACTCACAGCACGTTAGGTGATTTATGGGATGGGGAAGAAGTAGAGAAGGAAGGGTTGACGCATTAGTCTGTTTATTTTATGGATAGAAAAAACTCAAGGCATTGATAAGTTAGAGACTTCAAATGTGTGGCGACCCTGTAGTGAAAGGGTCAAGTGTGACCCTCAGATAGGCAGAAAACTAGGTGTGGCACGCGGATAAACGGGACACTATATTATCGAGCTAAATGTATTCAGTTGTCCCAAAATACCATTTGCATGGTTGATCTCTCTTTTCGCAGAGTAGGAAACAGGCCCAGGGAGGTTACATTTCTCCTGTACACTCTCCCCCCCCCCCAACTCCTTACATACTGGCTTTTTCCTGTCCGCCAGACTTGAATTCAAATGACAGTTTCACACCGAACTCATCACTGTCGAAAGCAAACCTCTGTTATCTACCACAGCCCCCTGCTTATTTTCTGTGAAATGCCATAGACCACAGTGTGTAAGTGTGTGTGTGTGTATCACAAGTCTGAGTGCAGACAGTGATAAAATCAGGGAGTACTGTAATTGGAAGCGTAAAGCGGTTGTGCAGTACCTCACGATCATATCAATTTGAGGCTAATTGAATTCTGAAGCGGGTGGCAATAGAACAGGCTTTGAAACAGCAACATGAGCTGTTGTGTGGTAAAGCATTCTCTGTCATACTTAGTTTTAGTGACCACCTTGATTTGAAGGTGGTAGGTAGTAATGAGAGATGGGTAAGGGAAGTGCAGGTGAAGTCCATGTAATTTTGGTATTTCATGACTTTGAAAATAAACTAATTTGGATGAGGACATGGAGACTCCGGTTAAGGCAGTGGTTCCCAACCTTCCTAACGCTGTGACACTGTAATACAGTTCTTCATGTTGTGGTGAGCCCCCGACCCTAAAATTATGTTCATTTCTATTTTATGATTATAATTTTATGAATCATCATGTAAATATTTTTGAGATAGAGGTTTGTATCTGGGCGGTGTTGGCACACGCCCTTAATCCCAGCATCCTGGAGGCAGAGGCAGGTGGGTCTCTGTGAGTTACAGGCTATGAAACAAATTCCAGGACAGTGAGGGCTGTTACACATAGAAACCCTGTCTCAAGAAAGGAAACAACGACAACAACATGAAACCAAGGGAACAGTGACATGCAGACTGCATCCTTATTCTTGTGTGATGTTTCATTTAAGCCTTCCCATTTCATAGGGTTGGTAACACACCACACGAGGCGGGTGTGAGCCACAGTCGTGCTCACCATCTCCTACTGCGATTTGTGGGGGAGACAGGAGAGCCAAAGGAGCACCACCTGAAGTGGCTGTGGGGGAGACTGCCCTTGTGATTGTTCTGTGATTCTGCCTGAGCTGCGCTGAGATGCTCTGGCATGTAAACATTTCCTAGGCAGCTGCATCGCATCCACAGTAAGCTGTGTTCCTAGTTTTACTGACTCATCACTCACCTGCTCCTCCTTCCCCCCCTTCCCGCTCTTACAGGAAATTCTTCCATCCTTCAGTCATAAATGGGACCTTTGACCTTAATGACATTACAAGAGTTTGTACATCGGCTTATTCTCCTATACTAGGGTTAAAGTATATCTTATTTCAGGTTACAGTCCTTTGCAAATTCATAATGCAAGCATTGTATATTTTAGGAAAACTCTAGTCAAATTTAGTGATTGAAACTTTCAAAGATTTTTTTTTTAAATAAAACATACAACCTACGATCACCTGGTTAAAATTCATGCTTGTTAAATATAATTTTCAAAAAGAGTGAAATTATGAGTCATGCAAAAAAATGGATATGTGTTAAAGATTTTCCTCAACCCATTAATTAGCGAAGGAACCAGTAAGATGTAAAAATTAGTTCAAAAATGTTTGAGAGACTACATATATAGACAGTTTTATAGGTTATGGCCATAGATAAGAACTTTAATTTACATGAGGTTCTCTTTGGGACTATTTCAAGAATTATTTCAGTTTCTACTTGACAGAATTTTAGAAGTTAGCCCCTGTTCCTGACAAGATATAGAATATCCAGTAATTGAAACTATCTAGAAACTACCACTTACCTTTGCTTATTCTGACATTTCAGGAAAATTTTCTGATACTATTATGTTCCCACATGATAGCCACAGGCACTTGGGTTTCATAAGCTTCCTCCCTCCCTTCCTCCCTTCCTCCCTCCCTCCCTTTCTCCATCCCTCACTCCCTCCCTCCCTCCCTCCCTTCCTGTGTCTCCTAGGAGTGGTCCTGCCCTTCTCATTGTTCTCCATTACCTTCTTTTTTTTTAACAAGACCAAGGATTCTCTGTGCAAGCCTCTTCCCTCAGTTAGTACAAATTCATTCCTTCACTTTTACTGTTGAGGGATGGGGCAGTGGATGTATGTGTGTCTGTCTGTGTCGTTCTTTGCCTGTCCTGACATTGGTGTTTTCTTCCCAGAATCCGGTAAGTTTAGAAAGCTGGGATATTGCTAAGGCTTAGGGTGGACAGTGAGGTGAGGAACTTGATGGCACTCCATGGGTGGGTTTTAAAATTGTATCTTAGAGGAGGAAGGTCGCGGTGACAGCTCCTGAAGTGCTTGGGTTGCTCTGGTTCTTTTTGTTTGCTTGTTTGTTTTTGAGACAGGGTTTGCTTTAATTAGTTAATTAGATCAAATTTATTCATATTTAGCTGATACTGTGTAAGTGGTGTATATTTCTTAGATTTACCTGGAATCCCTTGCCATATGATTGTCTTTTATGATGGTGTTAACTTTGATTACCCATCGAAAGCTTCCCCTTTCTTTGCCTTTTTCCCACTCCCTCTTGCCATTAATATATACTTTATTAATCTGTGGGAGGGAGGGTCTCTTGCAGCTATGAATGTCTGCTCCTTTAAAATCCCCCTTTGAGTTAGTATCAGTTGGTTCTTACTTTATTTGTTATTTCCCATGATGGTTATAGAATGGTTCTCTATCTAAGACTTTGAATGCTTGTGTTGCAGAATAAATGTATATGGCTGTATTGTAGCAAACTATAGATTTGATGGTTTTTTTTTTTTTTTTTTGTAGGCTGTTAGACATGCACAAGATAGGTCCCCAGTATTTGTATCTGGAGATAAGTTTTTAATTTTTATATTTGTAGTATTGAGGATGGTTTTGTACTACATACAAAATTATAATTAATAATTGATATGATGGTTTGTATACTGTCAAATGAAAAAAGTCTTCAGCAGAATTTATACATTTAAAGCCATCTTACATTTTCTTAACCTACAAATAATTTTTTGAGAACTTCATTCACGAGTATACTGTATTACATCATTGCTACCCCTTCACCTCCTCTAGGATCCCCCTCATCACTGTAGAATTTACAACCCCTTGTTCAATAATAATAATTGTTACATACCCATGCCTACACCCCCCCCCCCCCACACCACCCATAAAAACCCTACGGAATCCAGGAATGCTGCCTGATATGTATATGTGTTTAGGGTTCACCACTGACAGTTGTGTAGCCAATCAGGGACTCCTCCATGGTAGCCATTGACTTGCCTGTAGCTCTTTATCTGTAGTGGGTCTTTGTGAAACTCCCCTCCATGCTTGCATGCCAGCTTGTCTGGCCTGTGTACATTTTGTGCATTCCGCCATGTTGTTGAGAGTTCATGGGAGCAGCATCCTGTCCTGTCCAGAAGAGACTGTCTTGTAACAGGTGTTCTGGTCCCCTGGCTCTTAGAATCCTTCTGCCCCTCTTCACGCTCCCGGGCTTCTGTGTAGGGTGATGTTTAGCTATATCAGGTTGGTGTGGTAGGGTCGGGCAGCCCGTGGTCCTGTATTCTCTGCATTTTTCCCTGTTGCGGCTCTCCACAGTGAGCTCCAGCTGCTGCCAGAAGCAGCTCCTTTGATGAGGATGGGAGCTGTACCTGTGTGGAGAGCAGGTACCGGTGGGTCACCATCATTATCTGAGTGAACATTCAGGGTTTGCAAAGTTGAAATGATATCCATGCAGTTCTACAGCTGTTTCTGTAGCATCGAGAAGGAATTTTTGCAAGACACTTACAAGTAATGTGTTTGATAGGAATATTAGAACCCAGACTTCATGACAAACTCTGCTGCAGTTTATCCCTGAGAAAACGGTTCAGTATATACAGTCCTGTCTCTTGCCAAGGAACTGATCCAGAAAAAATAGTTCCTTAGTTGCCTAAAACTCTTGCAGGATTTAGAGAAAAAGAATAGATTCACCGGCGTACATACTGATAAGTTATTCAGTAAGACTATGTAGGTGGAAGGAAAAGGTGAATCTTTGAAATTGATTTTATGAAGTAGATCAGCAGTCCATAATTATTTGCCTTTGTTCACAGTTGCAGTGTTAATTATTGATGCCTAGTTATGATTTACACTGTATATACGGAGACAGAGACAAGGAGTGTGCGGAGAGTCCTGGTTTCACATACACACAGACACTGGCTTTCCACCGG